TCCTGGGTTTTCTCCAGTGCTCCAGCAAGCGGTGCCTGCTTCTCACACAGCTCTCAACCTGGCCCTGGGTGGAGACAGACTCAGACCTCTAATGGCTCCAGAAAGAGGCGCCCCAGATAGTCCTTTCTTCTGAGACTTTCTGCCTCTCAAGTGTGGCCGCCAAAGAGCACTGGCAGCAGCTCGAGGAAGCATCTTTGGAGAACGAGGAAGTTGGGGAGTAGAAGTCAGGTGCATCTCAATTGGCAGCAGCCAGTGGGAGCTCAAGGGCCTTCCAGGGAGGGCCTGTGTGCCTGACAGGTGGTGACCGGGGCAGCGGACACTGCCAGGTCCTGCGGGGCCTGTTGGTTTCTGTGGGATAACCTGGCTGGGCACCAGAGGGCTCTGTTAGAGGCCTGTGCACAGGCCTGTCTGGAAGCTAAAACAAGTCACAGCAGGGAGAGGCTGAGCAGGTAGCACAGATGCATAAAGAGGGATTGGGGCACTGGGGAAGTGTCTCCAATTCACAGGGACTCCAGCAAGGAGGGTGCGGGGTGGGACAGGAGTCCCTTTAGCCTTTCTGCCTGCAAACTGTTTGGGTCAGGAGTGGTTAGAGCAATGGGCAGATAGACAGGAAGAGGCAGGACCTTCAAAACAAATCTAGCCCGGTGACTCACCAGTGACCTTGAGCAAAGTCAGTTCCGTGGGATCCTGTTACAGCTGCCTACTTCCCTGATGACTAGAGGGCACCGCCAAGCAGTGTTTACCAAAACCAACAGGCCAGAGCACAGCTGGAGGATAGGAGGTGTTCTGTGTCTAGCCAGGGCATCGTGGACTACACCACTGGCTTGAATTTCAAGTTAGGGTCCTGCCTTGCATGCCATTTCTCTCTCAAATAAAATCCTACATCCATAACCTTCAGGGGTTTTCTTTAGCGGTTCCCTCGTGGGAGCAGGTGCTTGTCACCTTCCCCGCTGTACCGATGTCTAGGGAGGGAGGAGAGAAAGAAGTTGAGATACTGACTCCCGAAGAGCGTCTGAGCTGGGCTCCAAGCCTGTCTAGGATAACTGCCTGTTCTTCCGGCGTGCTCTCAGACCCTCCGAGGAAAGCCCGCCTGTTACATGGGGCAGGCCCCTGGTGTGTCTGTTAACGTTACCCAACGGGAAGTTCACACTCGGTTTTCTACTGACCGTGAGGGTTTACTCACAGCTTTGGAGCGGAGAAAGGCAGTTACATTGGAACAAAACCTGTTGGAGTTTGAGGTCAGAAGTCTCTCCTCGCTATCATATTGTCTCACTTGTAGGGTAGGCCTTAGTCTGGCTTTAGTAGGCTTTGGTCCACATGGGCTGACGTGTGGTCTGGGAGGTCTTGGTAGAAGAGGGAAAGGCATGCCGAGGGGACACTGGCCCAGCTGAAACAGCCTCTGGTTAGTAACAGTACAGGCGGCTGCTCTTCCATGGGCTGACCCAGCAGGCCCTGGTGGTGGGTGGGGCAGATGTTACTGTCTTCGTTGATAGATGGGAGAGCAGGGGTCCAGCGCACTCGAGGGACTTGCCCAGAGTAACACAGTCTCTGCTAGAGCTAGGATTGCGCCGGATCCCGAGCCTTCCTGGTGTCCTGGCCGCTTCCTGGAGCAGGCGCTGATGGTTGCAGAGCTGCAGGAGCTTGGACACCATGCCTGGCAGGCTTTGCCCAGTAATTCCCCATGTGAGGACTTAATGACCCAAACCTTTTTTGCTTCTTTGAGAGATTTCATTGCTTCAAGCTGTTCCTCTAGTGAGCTTAGCAGCTGGCTCCGAGGATGGCTCCGACGGCATTCCTGTTAGCTTCTGATCCCTCATTCACGCACAACTCTTTAGGAATTGATTGATGATCTCCAGGCAAAAATACAGTGGCTGACTCTGGTGCTTGGTGATTCCGAGCAGCACAGTGCAGGGGAGCCTGACCATGGTTTGGAATCCAGCTCTGCAGCGTGTGGCCTGGAGGAAGCCACTTCACCTCCGGGAGCCCCCACCTCCTCATCTGAGCTGTGTGGTAAATCCCCCAGGAGGGCACTTGACCCTTCTGTGTGCCCAGGCTGTTCCAGGAGGGGTATACAAGGCCCCTCCAACAATATTTGCCTTTGGGGAGGAGCAGGTGGACATCCACAAGGGAAGGGACGTCCTCTCGAAAGCTTTTTATCATGTTCATGTCTCCTTACTCCTAAAACTCATGTATAATGAAACATAAGGCAATAGGAGTATATGTCATGGATGTACATTTTTAAGGATAATCAAATGAACATCCTTGTGCTCACCATCCAGCCAAAGAAACAATACAGGCTCCTTGAAGCCCCCACGTATTGCTTTTCTTACTCCTAAGTGCCTGGCCTCGCTAGTAATGAGAGTGGAATCTGACACGGCTTGCTGCAGAGCGGCGTGTGGCCTCTGGCAGGTTAACTGTAAGAACACTGCCCCATCCCTGCCACATGCCACATGGACGCCAACAAGAACTCTCCCAGCTCTTAATAATATTTAAAATAAAGCCAGGAGATAGCCCCTGTCTCCTAGAGCTTTTCTTTCAGTGAGGCCCCATGCACTACGGCACTGCAGGACGGGTTCAGTGAAGGCTGGTCCCAGTTGCAGGCGGGGCTCACACACAGGCAGGCTTTTTGGCAGTAGACAGCTACCCAGGCTGGATGCTTGGGCCCAAAACAGATGGTCAGCAGACAAAAGAACTCTTTTGTTCTCGTGGAGTTCAGGGAGGGAGCAAAACTAAATGTGATGATATAGTCCACCGACTTTCCTAATCTATGTAATACTTCCTTGTAGCTGCATATTTCTCTAAGAGATCACGACAGATAGCTCTGAGGGCTTCTTGGTGGGTGACGCAAAGCCAGACAGAGGCCTGTGAGCCTTGTCTGGGCCTAGCCAGCGTCTGCCGGGTGAACTCTGAGCCTGAGGCAGGGCGTGCGCAATCCCAACGGCCCAGGGCTTCCCTCTACCCAGAGCCTGTGACGCTGGCATCTGTTCGGCTAAGTCAGCTTTGCTGGGTTTAGGTCCCGTCCCCAGGTTCCTGGACTTTCCCTCATCGGTCCACCTTCCTCTGAGGTCTGAACCGGTGTTTCTTGAAGTGTGGGGCTTGGATCACCTGCATGGGGATTACCTAGGCTGCTTGTTAAAATGCAGATTTCTAGACCCTGCTCCAGACCTAGAACTCAGACTCTCTGGGGACCTGGGAACACGCTTTCAGCTAGTGCCCCAGTGATTTGGGTGTGTCCTAGAGATTGATGATCACATCCCACACCCTCTCAGCCTGAGGGCAAGTTCAGGAAAGGACGCTGTATAGCCTGAGTCTTGCCAGCCCTTTCCAAATTTTCCTAAGTCACTTGGTGACCCATGGCCTAAATAAAAGAAGAACTTGCTAGTGACTGTAACAGAGGAAGGAGAGGAAGTTAAGGCCCATTTCCTGCTTTTTTTTTTTTTTTTGAGACAGAGTCACTCTGTCACCAAGGCTGGAGTGCAGTGATGTGATCTTGGCTCACTGCAACCTCCACCTCCCAGGTTCAAGCAGTTCTCCTGTCTCAGCCTTCTGAGTAGCTGGGACTACAGGTGCATGCCACCATACCTGGCTAATTTTTTAAATTTTTAGTAGAGACAGGGTTTCACCATATTGGTCAGGCTGGTCTCAAACTCTTGACCTCAGGTGATCCACTCCTTAGCCTTCCAAAGTGCTGGGATTACAGGTGTGAGCCAGTGTGCCCGGCCCCATTTCCTACTTTTTATTAAAGCTTAAAATACTTAATCATGGCCTGGTTTCTTTTTGGTTCAGCGTTTATTCTACGCTATGCTTCTGGGAGCTTTTGCAGTTTGCATAGTTATCACAGGAGACAGACAGTGTCGTCTAGTTGAAATGTGTTTTAAAGGATGGCTGACATACCGGAGGGAAGTACAAGTCGCACTGTGTGTCTGGTGCGTGGTTGTTGTCATGGGCTCTCCCTGCACCATGACCCCCAGGAACCCCTTGAGTCCTGCGTCTTTTCTTTCAGCCTCTTCCTTTTCCTTCATTTATGCCCTTGATGTGTGTACACTGGCACCGTCCAAACCTTCTGGGGCTTTCGTGGCATACATGTGGTTGCTTTCTAGCTTTTCCTGTTGACGGCTTGTCCCCAGCTCTGCCGAGTCTGCTGAGTCCCTTTTAGGTAGGTCTGTGTCCCTTTACTTTCCAGTTTGTGGAACCTTGTTTTACGCCTCCCTTTCTTTTTGTGTGGGTTGCCCTTTAAAAGAATTCTTTTGTTCTCGTAGAGTTCAGGGAGGGAGCAAAACTAAATGCGATGATGTAGTCTACCAACTTTATGAATCTGTGTAATGCTTTCTTGTAGCTGCACATTTCTCTAAACTGCTGCAACTTCTTTCTTCCTCTTTTCTTTATTTTACTTTTTTTTAAATTGTGGTAAAATATACATAACATTAAACAGCATTTTAACCTTTTTTTTTTTGTGATGGGGTTTCACTCTTGTTGCTCAGGCTGGAGTGTGAAGGCGTGATCTTGGCTCACCACAACCTCCACCTCCCAGGTTCAAGCGATTCTCCTGCCTCAGCTTCCCAAGTAGCTGGGATTACAGGCACATGCCACCAAGCCCGGCTAATTTTGTATTTTTAGTAGAGACAGGGTTTCACCATGTTGGTCAGGCTGGTCTCGAACTCCTGACCTCAGATGTTCCACCTGCCTTGGCCTCCCAAAGTGTTGGGATTACAGGCGTGAACCACTGTGCCCTGCCAACCTTTTTTTAAAAAAAAAAAAAACAAAAAACAGAGTCTTACTCTGTCACCAGGCTGGATCTTGGCTCACTGCAACCTCTACCTGCCGGGCGCAAGCGATTCTCCTGCCTCAGTCTCCCCAGTAGCTGGGACTACAGGTGCGCGCCACCTCACCCGGCTACTTTTTGTATTTTTAGTAGAGACAGGGTTTCACCATGTTGGCTAGGATGGTCTCGATCTTCTGACCTCGTGATCACCCGTCTCGGCCTCCCAAAGTGCTGGGATTACAGGCGTGAGCTACCGCGCCTGGCCAATATTTTGCTTTTTTAAGAGACAGGGTCTCTTTCTGTCATCCAAGCTGGAGTGCAGTGGTGTGATTATAGCTTACCGTAACTCCTGAGCGCAAGCAGTCCTCTTGCCTCAGCCTCCTAAGGAGCTGAGACCGCGATGCTCAGCTAATTTTTTTTTTTTTTCTCTAAGAGACGGGGGTCTCACTGTGTTGCCCAGGCTGATCTCAAACTCTTGGCCTCGAGCAATCCTCCTGCCTCAGCCACCCAAAGTATTAACCATTTTAAGTGTTGAGTTCATTGATATGAAGCACATTAACATTGTTGTGCAAGCATCACGACTATCCACTTCCAAAACTTTTTCATCATTTCAAACTGAACCTCTGTGCACATTACATGATAACTTCCTATTCTCCCCTCTCCCTACCCACTGGCAACCACCATTATATTTTCTGTCTCTATAAATTGACTATTCTAAGTATCTCATATGAGTGGAATTATAAAATATTTGTCCTACATTTGGTTGATTTCACTTAGCATAGTGTCTTCAAGTTCAGCTTCTTTTTGGAACAAAAAGGGAATGAATGAGTGAGGAAATGGAGAATCGGTATGAATTGACCTGTGTGGTCTTAGCCTCTCTGGCTGTCTCAGCTCCAAAGTCAGGCTTTTCCTGCCAGCTCAAAGTATCCTCTAGCGTTAACATGTCAGGTCTTTAAAAATGGTTAGAAGGGCGTGGCATAGACAGTGAAGCAGAGTCCTGCACTCAGGCTAGTCTTGTTGGAGAGAGAAGGACTTGAGGTACCGGAGAGCCGTGGCCCAGAGGGCCTCTGTTTGCTACTGTGGAATTTGTTCCAGCTCCCTGCAGACCACCCAGGAGCGGGAGCTAAGACAGTGTCCTCCGGAACTGCCCTGGCTCCCAGCGCTGTGGTGGGGATCAGACTCCTTCTAGGTGGGGGCTTCCTGCACCAGGCGTTACTTGGGGCCCTGAAAATTTGGTTCTCCCCCTGCAGATTTCTGCATGAATCCCCAGACAGTGCTGCTCCTGCGGGTCATCGCCGCCTTCTGTTTCCTGGGCATCCTGTGTAGTCTCTCCGCGTTCCTTCTGGATGTGTTTGGGCCCAAGCATCCCGCCCTGAAGATCACCCGTCGCTATGCCTTCGCCCATATCCTCACAGGTAAGCCGAGGGCCCGCTCGTAGCGGGGGGGAACTGCTATGGGGCAGGGGCATCCTGTCTGAGTTGCCGGTGAGGGCTCTGGTTTCTCTGAGCAGACGCCCTTCCAGGAGCTCATGTGCCAAGCTCGTCTTTCCCAGAGTGTCAGGGTGTCAGCAGCCTGCTCCAGTCTAGCTGCTAACTTGCCAGGATCACAAACCCACTCAGCCCAGCTGTGGAGGGGAAATGTTGCTAGAAATTCCACAAAGCAGCTCACAGCTCTCTCAAGTGGCATTTGAAGCTCAGACCTGACACGAGTGAAGAAGGAACCAGGCAGTCTCCCGTGTCTCACCTGGAGCTCCTGGTCAGATTCTCTCCTCTCCACCTTCCTGCTTCCCCACAGACCCGCCTTTTCTTGTATGCAGCTGCTCTCCTCCCTCATGCCTGCACTGCTGTGCTGGTTCGAAGTGTGGTGTGCCTACTCCAGCTCCCAACCTGCATGACCCTGTTTGCTCCTTAAGACAGAGAGAATCTGACTGGCCTAGATCAGGTCAGACTGCTGTCCCCAGCCTCAGGCCAGGAATCCCATGGCCAGGAGAGCTCCTCCTTGCAGAGTCGGCCAGGCAGGTTCTCTGAGAATGGGGTTTGGGTAGAGAGGCTGTGATTGGGTCCTCAAGCATCCTGGCTATGGCGTGCTCACTAATTCCCCTTCTGTGCTGTCCCTCTGTCCCCTAGTCCTGCAGTGTGCCACCGTCATTGGCTTTTCTTACTGGGCTTCTGAACTCATCCTGGCCCAGCAGCAGCAGCATAAGAAGTACCATGGATCCCAGGTCTACGTCACCTTTGCTGTTAGCTTCTACCTGGTGGCGGGAGCTGGTGGAGCCTCAATCCTGGCCACGGCAGCCAACCTCCTGCGCCACTACCCCACAGAGGAGGAGGAGCAGGCTCTGGAGCTGCTCTCCGAGATGGAGGAGAACGAGCCCTACCCAGCGGAATATGAGGTCATCAACCAGTTCCAGCCACCCCCTGCCTACACCCCCTAATGCCAGCCTTGGGCTCTCTTCCTCGGCAGCCCCTCCCCCAACTCTGCAGCTCCTCTCGCGCCCAGAGGAGCTCCTTTCCCCAGCAGGCCTCACTGGTAGGATCCTGACCATCTTCTCCAAACCTTCCCCGGGAGAGACTCTGCCTTTAGGGTCATCCAAGTGTCCCTGCTCTCAGAAGCAGAGGCCCACTGGTTTTCTATAACGTACTCTTTCCCTCCTGCCGCATCCTGCCCCCTTCACGTTCACGAGTCATTACCAGCCAGGGAAGGTCATCCAAGTTTCCTCCTGCGTGGGCCGTATCTTTGGGACCGAGACTTTCCTTGGAGAGCTGCTGAGAGTGGACAGTCCCAGAAAGAAGTGTCAAAGGGCCCAGGGGAAAGGGGGCTGTGCCCTGCAGGCTCACCTCACAGGGGTCAGGGTTTGCTCCACAGCTGCAGCTCTGGGCTGACGCCCCCCAGACCCCTTCCTTCTCGGAGTGACCCACCCCCAGGCCACCTGCTCCCGAGAGTTCTGTGCACTTTACTCTTTGGACTTCTCCTCACATGTGCCCTGGTTTTATGGGGAGAGGGAATTGCTGTTGGGAAGGCAGAGCCGTTGCTGCCCTCTCTGCCCTTGCTGCCCTCTCTGCCCTTGCTGCCCTCTCTGCCCTTGCTTCCTGTGGCTGGAGCCCAGGCAAAGAGAGCAGGAGCCAGCGTGAGACTGAGGCCCCTGGTGCCCATCGAGGACCAGAGTGAAGGGGACTACATCTCCCAGCCCTTCACCTTTTAAATGTGAGTGGTTTTAAAAGGAAAAAACGAAACCAGGCAACAGCAACAATATTCTGTTTTTAAAATAGGGACAAGACTTTGTCCCTTTTTAGACATGTATCCCATTCCTTTTGGCTCTGTATTTGGGGCTGTAGCTCTTCCAAGCCCGTGGCAGCCCCTCCCGAGTCTCTCCCAGTAGAATGCAGCCTCCCTTCCCGGCCCTTCCCTCCCAGTGACTGGCTCCCTGGGGCCTTCTTGTGGAACCCAGAGGGGCTGAGGACTGTGGCCTGGCTGGCGGGCCAGCGTGGTGCTCCTCAGGACTGCGGCACTGAGATGGAACCTGGCCTCAGTTTAGGAACGGGCCACAACAGGGCAGGAACCCACCACCCTCCACATAGGAATACAGCCAGTGGGGCCCCGTCACGTGAGGCGTCAGACCCACCCTGTCAGCCCAGCAGGCCGGGCTGTGTCCTTCAGACCAGTGCCGCCCTAGACTCTGACTTGGGGCTCCAGCCTGCCGCGTGCCCCCCTCCCCCTCTTGAATGTACTCTGGTCTTGCAGTGCGCTGCTGGGCCTTTCTTGCTCAGCCATCACTCGGCCACCCTGTTTGCTCTGGGTCTGCCTGAATTTTCTGTCCTGAGATCTGGGCATGAAGTGGATGAAACTTGAAAGACCTTCAGTGTAGATCCAGATGGCCAACCTGTCCTTGTTAAGTTACCTGCTTCTTGGGACTCAGTGTCCACTGCTGAGCTGAAAAGGAAATGGATTAAATCTCTTCGAACCTTTACGGTGATCGATAGTTTGAGCAAGACTGGAGAATGGACAACACTATGAAGCTGTGGCTAGAAAGGGACTGTCACGTCCCATCCTTTGGCCAGATTGACCAGGGATGTCCGGACAGATGCCCACGTGGGTGGCGAGGGCCACACCTGCACACGAGCAGGCAGCTGCTTGCAGTTCGCGGTGATGCCAGAGTGTGTTCAAAGGTGAGTCTCCTGCTCTTCTGGACTCTTCTCTCAGGCAAGAAAGGCTGCCGGCTGCCTGAGCACAAAACCAAGGAACTGAACTGAGTCTTTCTGTTGAGTCCTGAGTTCGTCGTTGGCAGGTTTACTTGTGGCCAGCTCGCTCTGCCCATGGGCGTCTGAGCAGGCAGACCAGAAGACCAGGCACCGGACATGCATGCCAAAGGGACCGGTCATCTCCTGCGGACCTGTACATGACCCTGTGGACCGTTCCGCACAATCCGGAACCCACTTTTTACTCACTCCCCATGTCTCTGAGCCTTCCTCTTCTTTCTCTTTCCCTCTGCCATCCTGACACTGATAGTTTGTCATATAAATCCCCCCGGTTGTGTTTTTTTTCTAGGAAAAAATTAAAAAGGAAAACAAAACCAAAAAACCAGAAACCACAAATAAGAATGGAAATGCCAATGGCTGCCTGTCATTTTTGTCACAATTTTCCTGATTTGGTTTGTTCCCTTCATCTCAGAGAAGCAGGAGACATTGATGAGGCTGTAATTTTTTTTCTTTTTCTTTTTTTTTGAGACAAGAGTCTCGCTCTGTCACCCAGGCTGGAGTGCAGTGGCGTGATCTCAGCTCACTGCAACCTCCGCCTCCTGGGTTCAAGCGATTCTCCTGCCTCAGCCTCCCAAGTAGCTGGGATTATAGGCGTGTGCCACTGTGCCCGGATACTTTTTTTGTATTTTTAGTAGAGAGGGGTTTTACCATGTTGGCCAGGCTGGTCTCGAACTCTTGACCTCAGGTTATCCACCCACCTCGGCCTCTCAAAGTGCTGGGATTACAAGCATGAGCCACCGCACCTGGCCAAAGATGTAATTTAAAATGGTTAGAAGGGACTTGGCATGGGCCAGCTCCGTGCATGGCATTTTCACCCCCAGAGCTTTCTAATCCTGTTTTCACACAGGAAGCTTCTAGGTCTTTCTAGAATAGCTAGAAACAGTAGCTGACTCCTGCCCCAGGCCCAACCTTCAAACCTGAGCTCTTCACGCTGCGTCCTCTGGTGAGCTATAGAAGAGAACGTGGCTCCTAAACTCTAGCCATCCTGCGGGAGGAAATAGACTTCTTTGGGCTGTGGCTTGCAGAACAAACTACACTTTTTTTCCCTCTATTTTTAAATTTTATTTAATAATTTGTGTGTTTTTCTCTCTTTTTATTTTCTATGTTTCATGTTTTCCTTCACTTCCTAGAAACTGCACTTTCTTTGAAATCATAGGCAATGAATCTTACTAGGAGAGGTGTGGGGATGGAGACAGTTCTGGGATGTGACCTATAAGCCTCCTGGAGGGCAGTGCCAGGCCTTGATTGCCCACATTCCCTCCATTCCTTCTTTCCTTCCTTCATACATTCGGTCACACAGCCCCACGTGTGCATCACGGTAAGAGCCGAGGGCTCCCTTCAGGGAGCAACCCATTTAGGTCTCTTTTGTTGTTGCTAGGGAGAATACACATCTTTCTTGGAAGCTGGGAGTGTGTTCTCTCTTATTTCATGTCCATTCAGACAAAGCACCATTAGGCACCATGAAAAATACAGTGACTGACAGGACCCTGTCTGCAAGGATTTTATGTCCTAAGTTCAGGAGATGGACTTGTCCACAGAAAGGCAGAGTGAAGTGGGCGGCTGGCTCGGAAAGTGCTGTGCCCAGAAGGGAGCCAGTTCTGACCTCAGTGATCATGAAAGGCTTCCTGGAGGACGCAGCTTGAGCCACACTTGACGTGGGAGTGAACTGGGGTAGGGACACTGCTGCTGAGGAAATGGCAAGAGCGAAAGCACACTGGTGGCCAGGACGTGGTGAGACCTGAGGTTAGAAAGGTGAGGGGCGCTCATCTGAGGCACTAACAGCAGAAGGAGCCCTGGAAGGATTTTGAGAAGGGGAGGGAGGGATGCAGCCTTATTTTAATGACTGGTGGCAGTGGGAAGGGGTCTGCCTGGCCTTAAGTGAGGGTGTCAGAAGTGGGAGACAGGCCCTGCCAAAGGGGAAGAGGGCAGTCACAGTCAGTCCCAGGGCCCAGTGTCTCAGCCAGGTGCTGGAGTTGGGAATGCGGGAGCCCCAGTCCCTGCCTACCTGTCACATGGCAGCTGGAAGGTGGCATCAGCCACACAGGCGAAGAGGGGCCCGCACATGGGAAGCCATGGGATGTGAAGGGCCACAGGGAGAGGACCCTGGGATACAGGAAGAGGTGGTGCGTTCGGGGCAGGGCGGCCTTCCCAAGATGACTAGAGAATCTTCAACTGGCATCTTGCCTGCGGTATCCACGGTCTCAGCCACTACACTAATGGAACACAGATGCTGTGGGGAGACATAAGGGAACTGACAAACTTCATGCCCCTGTTTTCAAATAGCCTGCAATCTTACCTCTTCCTCTGCGTTTTTTTAGGGGGAGTGACATTTTAATGGGAGGCCGGGGGTTTGCGGAGAAGAGAAAATGTCTTTTTTGTGGGGGTGAGTAGAGACAGAGTCTCACCATGTTGCCCAGGCTGGTCTCAAACTACTGGCTTCAGGCAATCCTGCCTCCCTTCCCAAAGTGTGGGGATTACAGGCATGAGCCACTGCACCGAGCCTGAAAATGGCATTTTGAATGAGCCCACCTGAAATGAAGACAGTTTATTAGGGTCACTGGTTTGAGAATTAAGATCAGTTCTGGCTGGATGCGGTGGCTCATGCCTGTAATCCCAGCACACGGGGAGGCCAAAGTGGGCGGATCACAAGGTCAGGAGATTGAGACCAGTCTGGCCAACACGGTGAAACCCCGTCTCTACTAAAAATACAAAAATTAACCAGGCGTGGTGACGGGCGCCTGGAGTCCCAGCTACTCGGGAGGCTGAGGCAGGAGAATTGCTTGAACCCGGGAGGCAGAGGTTGCAGTGAGCCGAAATCGCACCACTGCACTCCAGCCTGGTGACGGAGTGAGACTCCGTGTCAGAACACACACGAACACACACACACACACACAGACAGACAGACACACACACACACACACAAAAAACCGGTTCCTCACCATAAGCTTTGGGGAAAATTCTTGGCTTTTTTGCTGGGGGAAGAGAGCAGTGTCCAGGGAAGATTGGCTGATCTCAGAGCTGGAGGGTTGATGTGGGACTGGCCCTTCAGCTGAGTGGGACAGCAACACGGTGGGTGGCAAGGGGCTTCATAAGATGTTGGAGGTGAGGCAGAGACCCCTCCAGTCTACAGTCAGGTAATGAAGAACTTTCCAGAGACAGCTGTGAGTCCGTCTGGCTTAAGGGGTTGTACAGGTGTCTGAGAAAGGGGTCTGAAGGGTGCGGGGCCTGCAGGCTGCCCTGTTTGGAAGGTTCCTGCCTTCTGTCTTGGTAGAAGATGGCAGCTAGCCCTGTAAAGGGCCTCCCTGTATGGCGAGGTAGACCATGTAGCCCCAGATGCCCCCAGGGCTTCACTTCC